CACCTACAGCAAAATCTCAAATCTACATCAACTAATAGAAAACTTAAAATTACCGTACCTCCCATTTCCATCTTCCTTCCTCCCGCTGATCGCACTGTCACCGTCCTCTTTCTTCTTCTCTCTCCCTTCTCGTTCCTCTCCGCTCTGACTCCCCTCTCTCTCTTTCTCGAACATTCTTTTCTCTTTCTTTCTTCTTCCCGCTCTCTCCCTTCTCTGTTTTCTCTTTTCTTTCTTTTTTTTTTCTTTTTTTCCTTCCTTCTTTCTTTTCTTTCCCATCTCTTATTTATACCTCACCTACCTCATCAAAACGATGTCGTTTTCTCCCCTTTCAAAACAAAGTCGTCCCCCCCCCCTCCTTTTTTTTCTTTTCTTTTTTTCCTTTTTTTTTCTTTCTTCAGTTACTACAATAATAGCATATTAAAACTAAGGAGCAGTAAGAGGCTTAATGAAGCAGTCAGAGAGCTTATTTAACTTACAACTAATTATAAACCAGACCTTGTATTTATAAATAATTACATTTATGACCATTTAATTACAAGTAACTCTAATTACTTCCCTCAAGCTGGAGCATATAAATTTTAAATACCTAACTTGACAATAGCATGTTAAAACTAAGGAGTAAGAAGAGGCTTAATGAAGAAGTCAGAAAGTTTATGGGAAGAGGAAACTGGCATCAGATGCAGAAGCCCTTCAAAAATCTTTTATCTAACAAAATGATGATCGATTTTAATGTGCTTTGTGCGCTAGTGAAACACTGAATTTTCAGCAATTTTTATAGTTGAGAGATTGTCAAAGTACAAGGCAATAATTGGAGATAAATTTACAAATCATGAAGTAGATAAGATAGTCATTGCAACTCACAAGTCACCATAATAAAGGCCTTGTGTTCAGCTTCAAAGGAAGACCAAAAAACTATTTATTACTTCTTGATCTTCCAAGATATGAGTGCATCTCTAAGAAAAACACAAAATCCAGTAAGAGATTTGCGAAAATCACTACAAGCTACCCAATTTAAGTCACTAAAAGCCTTGAGATGGAGAGAATTCTATGCAAGATAAAAAAATCTTTGGCCTAGTGTTCATTTTAATTACCTTAAAACCCAATTTGGAGCTTGTAACTGTGCTTGAGTATAAGAATATGAGAATTGAGACAGTTGTTTGATATAATTACAAATGTTAGGCCTAGTATTGGTAAGGTAAAATAGCTTACTAATAAGTTGCATGTACATAGTAGCATCCTCAAGAGACCATCATCTTATTTTATCAACTTTGTAGAAGGAACCATAAGTGTTGAAATCAGTTTATACCCCAAAAATCCAGTGTCACAGAGTAAATCCAGAGTGTATTTACGCTCATAGACATTGATTCTTACAAAAAACGCATTATCTTAAGTGAAATATTACAAAAATCAAAATGCTTACGAAATAGTGACGAATTCAAATGGGCTTGCACAAATCCATTATCATCTAGCTTATTTAAGACTATACAAACTCTTTTTTAAGTTACACACT